TTCCAGGGAAGCGGCTCTCTGGCTCTCTTTCTCTCTCGGCACCCGCAGCACCAGCCTGGCCAGCGGCCGCCTCGTCCTCTTTGTCCTCAGCTCTAGAGGCTGCCTGGGCTCACCTCGCAAAGTTTGCTCCTCTGTCGTGGTGGGGGTAGCTGCTGCTGCTGAGTGTGCTTTTTTTGAGGGGGGCCCTCAGAGGAAGGTTGCCGGACCTCCGTGTGTGTGTGTTTGTGTGTGTGTGTTTGTGTGTGTGCGTGCGCACCTGTGAGGATCCCCGCCCCATTCTGTTTAATTTCATGGGTACCGGTGGGGGCCTTTCTCCTTTGGCAAGGTGAATTCTGTGAGGGATTTTTAAAATAAATTTATGTCATGCCCTTTCCCCCCACCAGCTAGGCAGTCACCAGTGCTCCCTCCCTTCTCCACTTCTTTGTCCTGCTGCTGCTGCTGGTGGTGGTAGTGAAGAAGGAGCTGGAGGGGGTCGTGGCTGGCATCCCTCCTCTTCCTCCTCCTCGAGGCCCCAGCCAGGCTAAGGAAACTCCTGAGTGGCTTCCTCGGGCTCTTGCTCCGCTTGGTGGAAAATCTGATGCAGCCCAGACTCACCCAGACTCTGCCTCCAGCAGCCCCCAGGTAAATTGAGTTTGAGACCCCTGCTCTAACCCCTTCTGGAAGGAAGGGAAAGTGCCCACATCTCTGCATGCAGCAAGGCCCAATGTCTCACATTAGGACTGGTGAATTTACTCCATAAAAATACAGTAACATTTTGCATCATTTAGTTTTCACTGTCAACACAGGTAGTAAAAATGAAATGGAAAATCCTATGGCAGCCAAAAACACAAATCATTCCTATTTATCACAAGATGAAAAAGCTACTATATGTCTAGATAGCCCTATTTGTCTCTGTTTTTTGTTGTTGTTGTTAACATGTACATTCATGTTTTCCTAGTGAGACGGCGCTACTTACAGAGATAAATTAGTTTGCTTAATTCAAGAGCTGGGGGTGCACTTGCTAGATGTATAGACTTCTAATCTGTAGCTCTATATACAAAAATTGCCTTAGTTATGAACAAGAAAATAATGTAATGAAATTAAAAGCTAATACAGAGATACATCTTGGGAGCAATAAAGCAAATAATAGGAAAACTTGCAATATAGTCAGTTTGTCTTCTATTTTTACAGTCTCAATTTTTTTATTATTTAATTATTAAATATTTATTTATTATTCACTTATTCAACAGGGATTAGTGCAAAGTTCTGTACCTGGGGGGAAAAACCAAATGCACAGTTACAAGATGGGGGATACCTGGCTCAGTAATACTACATGTAAGAAGGATCTTGAAATTACTGTAGATCAAAAGTTATGAGCAAACAGTGTGTTGTGGCTGTAAAAATGGCAAATGCTATTTTAGGATGTATTAACAGAAGTATCGTCTCCAAATCCCATAAGGTACTGGTTCCCCTCTATTCAGCACTGGTTAGGCCTCATCTAGAGTAATGTCCAGTTCTGGACACCACACTTGAAGAAGGATGGCAACAAACTGGAGCAAGTTCAGAGAAGGGCAGCAAGGATAATTGAGGCTGGAAACCAAGCCCTATGAGGAAAGACTGAAAGAACTGGGATGTTTAGCCTTTAGAAAAAAAGACTGAGAAGGAGATATGATAGCAGTTTTCAAATACTTGAAAGGTAGCCATACAGAGGAGGGGCAGGATCTGTTCTCAGTCATCCCAGAGTGCAGATCACATAATAATGGGCTCAAATTACAGGAAGCCAGATTTAAGCTGAATTTTAGGAAAAGCTTGTTAACTGTTAGAGCAGTACGACAATGGATCCAATTACAGTGATGCCTGGGCTTACGAAATTAATCCGTACTGGACCAGTGGATGTAACTCGAAAATTTTGTAAGCGGCTGGAGCATTTCCCATGGGAATGCATTGAAAACCATTTAATCCACTCCAGCCCCACCAAAAAAAAAATAAATCCTGGGCTTGGCATTGAAAACCATTTAATCCGTTCCAGCCCCACCAAAAATAAATAAATCCTGGGCTTCCAAAGCTGCACCCACTGCCCACTGCCTCCTGTCCCATTGCCTTCTGCCTCCCGTCTCCATGGGGACAGGAGGTAGAGGGCACTGGGGACAGAAGGCAGAGGGCAACGGGGACGGGAGACAGAGGGCAGTGGAGGGGGTTTGGAAGCCCTGGAAGCCCAAAGCTGGCAGCGGGCATGGAGGTCGGGGCAGCTTTTGGCTTCCCAGGCTTCCAAAGCTGCACCCACTGCCCTCTTCCTCCCGCCCCCGTTGCTCTCTGCCTCCTGTCCCCAGTGCCCTCTGCCTCCTGTCCCTGTGGGGATGGGAGGCAGAGGGCAGCAGGGACGGGAGGCAGAGGGCAGCAGGGGAGGCTTTGAATTTCCTGCCCTTTCCCCCTGCTTTTCGTACATCGAAGCTCTGGCTGCAAGTCGAACCAAAACTTTGCGGCTGGAGCTTTTCGTACCTCGAAATTTTCGTAAGTAGGGACATTTGGAAGTCGAGGCCGCACTGTATGTTGGGAGGTAGTGAGCACTCCAATGCTGGAGACATTCAAGATAAAACTGGATAACCATCTGTCAGATCTGCGTTGACTTGGATTGCTGCCATGAGCAGGGGGTTGGACTCCATGGACTTAAAGGCCCCTTCCAACTCAATTATTCTATTATTCTAAATTAAATTATTTATATGCCACTTTTCTCCCCATAAGGGACCCAGTGTGGCTCACAACAGATAAAATAACAAAATTAAAAACACTGTGTAAATATCATGTTAAAAAAATTAAACATAAAGATTAAAGTATCACGTATACAAACAATTCATAAGCATTTCAAAAACATAAAGCCAATATATATTTTAATATATATATATATATTGGCTTTAACTGTTACTTACAGCATTTAATGTTTTACTTGCTGCATTAAAGG